CAAACTACGTGTATTAAATTTTGGGTGGCCGCTTAAAAGGGGTAAGGACAATAGAGAACTCCCTCATGGGAACGACCAAAAACTGAGTGGCCGCGGGGACTTAATGGAGTTGGCCGGCTAGAAGGGGTTTTATTTCAGTAGAGCATTTTGCTGACAACAATTTTATAACTGGCCGCTTAATAAGGGTTCGACTTAATAGAGGTTCGACTGTACGCAGAATTGTGATCACATGCAGAAATATTCACTGGAGAGTAAAGGTAGAAGTTCTATTTTAAACATCACGGTTTCTAGTGACGTATACTTGACGATAGGCGAAGAAGGCAGCTACAAATAAAGACGACTTTAGAAACCGCCGACATATTCACTTGTTCCCCTCTTAACTCCACGGAACGTTAGAAAGTCAAAATACTCGGTCTTGCAAAGAAAACCGCTAGCCTTGCCTTCTCGCAAAGTCTCGTATTTACCATTCACTACACTTATTGTCGTTTGTGCATCGAGTTGACAGTGACTCAGCAGGCATTTTGTGTTTCGCGTCAATAGTAGTGATGAGCGGTGTAAGGTCGCGCTAATTCTTATCGTAACTGAAATTGTGGTTCAGCAGTCCGTTTTGGCTTATCTTACAGTTTCCATTAATTAATAAACAATTTAGAGGGCCAATAAAGAAGCTCTGGATGTTGAATTTGTGAAGGATTCACGCGCATAAGTTATTGAACGAGATTGAGCAAGACATCGCGCAGATCAATTATTTATCTGCGAGACCCTGACAAATCACGATACTTTGCCATAAGTGAGTTTTATAATTGCTTTATCCTTCGATCAACAAATTTGTTTTAAGTCTGGAAGAAATTTAGAAATCGTTCTCCGCTGCTCAAAAGAACAGCCTGCTATTTGCTTTTGTTTCGTTTTTTTGTTTGTTTTGTTTTTTGTTTTGTTTTTTGTTGTTGTTGTTGTTGTTGTTTTTGGTTGTTTTTGGTTTTGTTTTTGTTTCTGTTTTGTTTTTTTGTTTTTTTTTTTCCTACAGAAGTGGACACGACCACGCCTGAGAAGAATATAATTTGAAGCAAAATCACTGTCAGACGGTAATGGGCATGAGCAGACTATTCTTTGTTAGCACTTATTTGCAGGTCACATGGTGATCTTTCGGCCAATGAAAAGGAAGGGAAAAAAGCATCGAATATCAACGACGATGAACATCCAGTTCCAAATTATAGGAGTGCTTTAGATGTTCTTTGCAATCTGCAGACAACAGCAACAACAACAACAAAAATAACGAACAAACAGACATACATACAAAAAGTAACAACTACTACAAACAAACTAAGCAAGCAATAGGATGAACAAAATACAAACAAAGGGACAGTAACAACACCAAAAATTTCATCAACACGTACACCGACTTTTCTCGGGTTTATGAAACCTCACTCCTGAATGTGTTTCGTTTCCTTATTTTTTCTTATTTTTCTTTTTAAATCCCACATAACGATTAGAATTCCCATAGAATTCCTATTGAGCCGTTTTCTGACGGGCTCTGATGGTAAATGAGCGTTGTTTGACAGAGTAAGAAATCAAACAGTCGTCTGTAGCTTTTGACGCAAAGTTTTAGTTTATAGCTCCTTCTATGTTTTCAGAGGTTTCGTACAAACATTGATTCAAGCGATTGCTCCTAACACGATGCTTTACAACCATGATTTGTCTGTGCAGTGTCAAACGTACTGCATTCACTGCAACTCAAGAATTCCAGCTAGCAGAGACTCTCCCGGCCTAGCCGATCTGTTACCATCCACTCCATGTTGTAATTTGTAGACTGTCACAAAACCAGCCGGAACTACACACCTTAGCAGTTCTTTGAACTTAAGTGTGGACGATCTAAGGAAACGCGGAAGACATGCTACCATACCACGCTTGGCACACGTGCCATGCCATATTCTCTTTCGCCTCTCCCACTCGCTGATCACGTGCTCTGCTGGCTGAAGTAATTATCCCTGAAGTTGTCGCAAGAGTCAAGGAACTTTTGGTGTACCACGGAC